TATAGAGGATCCTCGCTTGAATTTACGAATGCACAAATCGGTTTATATATTCTCGAGTTTATATATGTATATGCACACACACACACACACATATATATATATATATATATATTTATTCATTTATTTATTTATATTTATTCATTTATTTATTCATTTATTTATTTATCTAGTTATATATGTATATATATATATATATATCTCTCTCTCTCTCTCTTTATTTTCTGTTAAATTAGATTAGATTGTTAAAATGTAGTACATATTGGATAGATACTATTTCTTACATGAACCAATATCTTCAAGTAGGGCTTTCGAAGAGGAAGGGCTTTGACAGGGGCAGGCTACGTGGCTTCATGATGGCCTCAGTCGGGGGTTTGACGCTTCAGTGCTTGGACATGACGGCTGGACGACTCTGTTGCGGGAAGTGCGTCCCCGAACCCATGAGTATGTAGAATAATGGCTATTTTATAGGTTTTGGGCCGTTGGTTTACCTACTTTGGGGTGTTTGGGTAATGGTCATGTTGCTGACACCACCCCCCGAGCAGGGCTGTTGTGTTGTGATTCACTTTTGACAGGGCTCCTGCTGAAAGCCGCCCTTTTCATGTCAAGCCCGACGCACAGCCCGACTTGAAGTGTGAGTCTAATTTGTCTACAAGCTTGACTGCAATGCCCTCATCCCAATGCTGTGAGCTTCTTGATGGAGCCAGGAAAAATCACCGGAGCTGTCGGGAGGAGGTCTGACCCCAAAAGCCCGAGGGCTTTTGTGAAACACAGAATCTATGTTGACTAGGAACAAAGAGTGTCACAGCGATGTGCGTAGAGGTGTCAAACAACGAGTGCGTCTTCCCAGTCTGCTGATGTTTGTGTTTTTGTTATGGGGGTTTTGTTTTGGACAGGACGTGCTGGAGGTTCAACTGCGGAAAATTGAAACCAGAACGCATGGCATCCAAGAAGCATCTGCGGCTGATGGGCACAACATCTCGAGATTAGCTTGGGGGTTTACGCGATGGGGAGTCCTTTAGAACTATGAGCTCACCAATTCTGAACATCTGGCCCCGTTTGAGTTTCGTCGTAAAACCAAAAAGTATCTCACGTTTGGTTCGACGCTGCTCAGGTGCCGCTGTTGAAGGCGGAGGCGGGTGGCAAGTGGGATTGGGATTGCGATCATGTGACGCAAGTTTTTCGGTTTTCTGCACAAGTAGTAGACCAGATCGCATCAAGCTTCATCATGTTGGGCCCTGTAATCGTGACCATCGCTGGCCCAATGAGATTCAGTCCCGGCAGAAACCACCCAGAGGACCCATAGTACGATAGCAAGACCACATGGAAGACTCTGCGCCACACACCGTAGCTGTGGAATCCTCTTCACGCGACCTCACCCAATAGAGTCCAACAAAAACCCCACCTTCGTCGAAGCCCTACATACCCAAAGGTATTAGGGTAGTTTTCTAAATTAGGGTCCTTTTGGGTGTCCTTTTTATAAAGGTGTCATACTATATTGGGGACCCAAAAAGGGCCCCAAGTTTAGAGAACTACCTATTAACCTGTTAACCATGCCAGGAGCACCCAGAGGCTCCGAGGAAGGAGGATGATTTTGCTTCTTCGATGACTCCATGCCTACATAGGACGGGGAAGAAGGCAACAACTCAACTCTCCCTGAAGCTTAAGCCCCTACTCAATTCCCCCCACAAGTAGGTAAAATGCTGGCCCCAAACCTACAAAGGCCTATTATTTTACCTGTACTTTTGGTGTCCAGGGAAGCCCCAAACCCAGACCCCAAACCCTAAACCCTAAACCCTAAACCCTAAACCAAACCTGGTGGCTACGGTAAGGCCGATCATTGCTCCACCATGCGGGACAACCTGCTGGAGACGGAGGAGGCATGTGGACGTCAGGGCTTCGCACTTTGGGGTTTAGGCTTTGGGATCCCTAGGCCTTAAATCCTAAACCCGAATTCCCACAACCCTGAACCCTAAAACCCTTTGAACTCTAAAACCCTGAACCCTAAAACCCTGAACTCTAAAACCCTGAACCCTAAAACCCTGAATCCCAAAACCCTGAACCCTAAAACCCTGAACCCTAAACCCTAAACCCTCTTGGTATAGTTTGGGGAGCTCTCGGAGTTTGCGGTGTTTAGGGCTTTAGGGGTTTAGGGTAGTATCGGGGAGCTGAAGTGGTAATATCATAATAATATACTATGCCCTATGCCCTTCTTGTGCCTAGATCTAGATATTACTACGAAGAACCCCAAAACACAAGTGGAATCAGGCTCATACCATAACCTCTAAAGGGCCCCACAGAAAACCCCAGAGAGCCCCATGAAAGACCTGTTTTCAGCAGGCTATCGGTTTAAGCCCACCCCGTTGTCGTTGGGCCCCAACTTGACTTGGAATTGCAAGCTTGGAGGTTGCTGGCTACTCCCCAGTTTATGGTTTACAACAAGCTGTACCCCTATAAGCCGAATGCAGTACTATAGTTGCAGGGGTCCTATGGCTTTCATAATGGGGTCAACTGCGGACATCTCAGAACCAAGATCAATCCTTGGCTCTTTCAAAACCCCAACCATTGGTCCGACGGTGTTCTGGAATCTTCCTGGGCTGCTGAGTGGCTTCGGAAGATTTGAAACAGCACCATAAACCCTAAACCCTAAACCCAAAAAACCCTAGACCTTTAGGGTTTAGGGTTTAGGATCCGCGAATTGACCTGGAAATCCGACGCCTGGAATCAGACTCTCCGTCGAAACCAAAACCCGAAGCACTAAACCCCAAGCCTGACACCGAAAAGACCATCAGCCCGAAATCCCCAATCTAATCTGAACACTTGCACTGTAAACACCGTATCCTACGTCCTAAACCTCATCATACCCTCTGACTATGATTATGTCCGGCCCTCTAGCAATAATCGCACAGCCCTATACTATGACATAGAATATCCCACCCCCAACCCTACTCCAATTGCTAGCACCATACATATACTCTTCGAAGTTAGCATACGCAACATACACCACAAAACCCTACTCTAGCTCTAGGTATTAAGGCCCCTATACTAATGCCCGATACATCCCTTTTTTGCCCCCTTTATGCACCGTAGATGTTCAGCCCCCCTCTGGCTAGAAACCCTAAACCCTAAACCCCTAAACTTTAGAATTCTAAAACCCTAAACCCCTAAACTCTAAAATTCTAAAACCCTAAACCCCTAAACTTTAAAGTTCTAAAAACCCTAAACCCAGAATCCTAAACCCTAAGGCTGCGCTGGAGACCTTCCGGTCACTGAACATCTTCAACAGTCCGCAAGAGCTGGCGTCTAAGACCGGCATTGGGGTCGCTTCTGATTTCGGTGAAAGCAGGGGTTTACGGGTTTCAGGTGTTAGGGTTTAGGGTTGAGGGGTTTCAGGTCTTAGGGTTGAGGGTTTAGGGGTTTCAGGTGTTAGGCTTTACAGATTTAGGGGTCTGGGGTTGCAAGGTGTAGTGAGCTTGAAAGGGGTTTGGGTAGTTGTGAACTTTGTTGTTGTGGGCTTTGCTGGTTTCAGGATCCAGGGCTTAGAGGTTCAGGTTATTTGGCGGTTTCAGGGTGTTTCGGTCCGCTGATGCCTTCGAGCAACCGATTATGGTCTGTTGCAGCAAGGCCTAGGCACTCAACCCCAACGCCTTAAACAAAGCTATGGTAAAGTAGTTTTAGTGTACACCATCATAGGGTAACCCTAAACCCTAAACCCTAAACCCTAAATAGGGAGCTTGAGAACCCCCATTGCAGAAACCTTAGAACCGTTTCAGGGTCATCAGAACCTTGATAGAAACCTGGGTGCCGTTCTCGAAACCGGAACCCTAAACCCGAAACCCTATAAACCGTCATCCCGGAACGCTAAACTAAATCTTAAAAACCCTGAACCCTAGACCCTACAACCCTAAACCCTATGAGCCCTAAACCCTGAACCCTAAACCCTATGAACCCTGAGCCCTAAACCCGAAACCTATGAACCCTAAACTCTATAAGCCCTAAACCATCGCTTGGCCTCCTAGGTGCCAGATAGCTTCCTCCACGAGCGCGGAGGACTACTACAAGCGCGTCTCGGCCGGCTTGTAGGCTTATCTAGGGTTTAGAACTGTTTGTTTAATTGGAGTTTAGAGTTTTTTTTTGTTTGGGTTTATGGTTTGGTGTTTGGGGTTTTGGTTTTTGTGTTTAGGCGAAAGGAATTTGCAAGCAAAGGCTTGATGAGGCTTTTACAAACTCTCCTCATGGTACTCTAGAAGTAGTTCAGCCGCATGTATAGGATTTAGGATGTGCTTTTTATGGTTCCGGCCCAAACGTAGGAGGGTTGGGTTAAGGAGCTAGCTGAGGGTTCAAAAATTTAGGGTTTGCAATAGCATCCCAGCTAAGGCATGTACGAGCACTTCGACACACAGTCCGCTCAATGGTGGACAGCTTGATGCCCAGCTCTGGTCCTTGGTGATTCCCGGAAGGTAGTAGGGCTGTTTGGGGTTTAGTATATAGATAGAGTTTGGGGCCCACAGCGTCTAGGGATTAAGGTTAGAGGGTCCAGCAGAAACGATGTGTAGAAAATGTTGTAATGATGGTACTATATTGTTTCTCATCCTAATTTCCTGTAGGACCGAAACCGTGGCAATCCTGTTATAGAAGCCCGTTCCGCCCATGCCCATGGGATGCATCATGTGCTGGAGTGCAACAAAGTCAGGTTGTCGGGTTTTCGGGGTCCTTTGGGAGAGAAACCCTCTCGTCGGCCCTTTCTCAAAGGCTTTCTCTATTTCTTTTGGGCCTTTCTGACCGCATGAAACCCCAAACCTGACGACCCTCAACGCTGCAAGCCCTAAGCCCCTACCTTCTTGAAGAAGAGACGCACTTGGAGATCTGAAGCAGAAGACTGGGTTGTCAGAAGCAGATCGTTGAGTCGGGAAGTTTGCTTAGACTCTTAGCGGTCCAGGCTGAAGGTGCTCATCATGTATATCCATATGTTTGTACAAGCTGCAGCATTTATGTGCTGTGTATATGCTATATTTATGTGCTGTGTATATGTTATATGGCTCTGTATATATATACACACACATTATGTGTATATACATATTATACATCCAGATATACACTGTACCTATTCAGGAACTGCTTTGTGGCTTGCTTCGTGAACAGCCGCCGATTCCAAATTTTGCATGTTCAGCCGTGTTCCACTAAGGCGTACGAGCATTTGGACCAGGTCGTCAAAAACCTGACGGCTTGGAACTGCCACGGCCTCATTGAAACCTTGCTTCCCTGAAGCGCTTGCGAGGCCGTCTGCCTCGTTTCCCTGTCAGGTACGATGCAACGGTCTCAACACGCGAACATGTGCATTTGCATCTAGAACCCTAACCCTCCAGGTACCTACTATATAGGGCCTTATACCCCATATAGTAGGTACCTGGGGGGTTAGGGGAATCTGGTCTTTGATGTGTGCCCCGGACTATTCGCTATTCTGATGTATTGCACTCTGCAGAGGAAGCTTCAGAAATCCCCAATGGCCACCACCACTTGGTCCTACATAAGCTTCAATATACACTAGGCTGGTTTTGGGGACATTGTTATTTTCCCTATTTGGGTTTATACGGGACCCTTTATATAAATATTTTCAGAGGGTTTAAAGGCCAACCCAGTACAGTAAGTGTTCCATGAGCCACAGATCTCCAAAGAGCAAGGTCCTGTAAGCGTCCTGTGAGGGTTTACCCAGGCCAACGAAGAGCCAGAATTGTTCATGCCATAGGGTCTAAGTACCCTTATAGTAGATACTTTGGGCCCCAAAGTATCTACCATATTAGTACTTAGACCCTTTGGGCATCTCAAGTGTGGAAGTTGATCTCTCCATGGCGGGTCTGGATCGCAGAATCCAAAAGTGTCACATCTGATGGTCGTGAGCGCAAGTCCTATCTGACTCTCATGGGCAATGTCAGGTCACATTTGGCTTTCATGAAAAAGTCGAAGTCGCAAAACTTGTTCGGAACTTCTAGATTGCAGAGTTCTTAGTGTGGCGGAGTTGCATCGGTACACCTAGCAAAGGACCTCTTTCTCTGAACACTCTCTTTTTCCTACTGTCTGGAGTAACCCTAAGCCCAAACCCTACACCCGGACAGAAAGGGCCTGCAAGAACAAAAAGAGCCGTTCTGGTTCCTGTTTTCATTCCCATCCCCGGAATTTTCGAATCGCGCGAACGAGGCTCCAAGCCCACCAATGCCTACTACATCAAGTGCCTTGGAAGAACAGCTGCCGTTTAGAGGCCTAGACTAACATCTATTTACACCATAAACCCACAATCCTGAGCTCTAAATGGGATGCCTGAACCATAAATGCTTACATGGCGTCAACAAAGAGTTGAATTTGCCGTCGGATGAATGTCTGGTGTCCAAATCTAACTAGTAAAGGTTCAGCACCCCGAGCATCGCAGACTTTGCTGTTTTTCGGGTTCATTTTGGGTTGGGGGTTGGGCGGTGAGATTTGGGGGTGCAATGTTTTATGTTATGTTGGACGGGCTTGGGTTCTGCAAAGATGCTTGTCCTTCCAGCTTGGCGTGCGCTCAACACCCATTGGGTTTCAGGGATCTCTGTGGCCTTATATAGATGGGTGATAGCTATGAGAGTCGGTGCTAGTTGGACGGTGTAGGATTTGGGTGCAAATCCGACTTCAATCAACTTATGATCAGGGTTGCACATTCGATGTCAAGCGGTTTGGTGGCATCTGCCGCGAGACAGGCAGCCTGAACACTTCCCCCGAAACCTGCGGCGGTCTGTAGCGTTTTGTTTTCCGCAGCCTCATTGGTCTGAAGAGGCTTCACAAGCATCTATACCAGATCCTCAACCAGAAGCTTCTACCCGAAATCCTAAACTCGCTAAACCAGAAGCCCCAAAGCCTGAATACTAAACCAGCGAAGCCAGCGAAGCACTGGAACTGCCGACCCAGGGTCGGGCAATGTCAACGGATGCAGCTTGAGCTAGAGGAGACTGCGTGCGATGCCAACGACTCAGAGGACGAAATCTCCAAAGGAGGTTCAGGGTTTCGGGTTTAGGACTACATGGCGCCTTTACCAGGAAGCCTTCTTCTGGTTCACAGTCTTCAAAGAGTCTTACGTCCCGTGGCGAAGAGTCTGAGAGGCTAATCCCGAAGGCCTGGGGCTCCCTAAACCCTAAACCCTAAACCCTAAACCCTAAACCCTCAACCCTTCCCAGCAAGAGGGACCCCTCGTCGAGACCTTCCTTTTTTTTGGTGGCGCCCTAGGATCCTATCATGCCTCCTTTTCTCACCCCCAAGTCAAGGAACCGCGACGTCGCCCAACTCGGGCACCTTCTGACAGCGAAGATGCCCCCCAATACACAACCGCATATATCGCGGACCACTCGGTCAAACGGCATGCACTGAGAATGCAAGACCATCCACTATCTCACGAGCTCAGATGGTCAAGCCTCACATGCATCATCACAAAAAGTTCAGTATCCGGGGACGCTCATCAAAGCAATGCTTTTTTGTTTTTGCTGGTCCCATATATACCTTGCAAGCAGTATTCCTTCCAGGCAGCCGCAATCAGATACTTCCTCTCTCTTCTAACTTCGAAGTCGTGTAGGGCTTTGGCTCTGTAGGTGGAGAGTTTAGTCTCGGAGTCTGACAGGGTAAGACCACCCCCTGTACTACAGTACTGAAAGGAACCTTTCGAAACGACCCTTCAACGGAACCCTAAACCCTAAACCTTAAACCCTAAACCCTAAACCCTGGACCCTAAGCCCTAGACCGTAGCCGAGCCCCGGGTCAAGGTCTACAGCAGGACCAACGAGTCCTGTGCCGCGCTGGGATCTTGCGTCTCGCCTGGAAAATCCGAGCCGGTCTGGTTGCTGAGGGCTTTCGGGGAGTTTTCGAAAATAGGGGGGACCTTATTTTGGGGTCCTGAGAATGAGGACCCTACTATTTAGGGTACTATATTACGGTCCCGTATTTTTGGAAACCCCCATAGTGTAGCAGATTCCAGGGGGTTTTCGGATGAGGGGTTTGGGGATTGAGGGTTTCGGGATCAATGGGTCTAGGTGTCGGGATCGGGGCTCAAAGGAATGCAATTACAGTGGAGGGGGGGGGGGGGTTGGTTCTAGGATCTCGGGCCTAGGCTATGGGCTTGACGGCTTAATGTGCTGAGGGGGTGAGTTGAGGTTATAGGCTGACCAGTTCACAGCCCGGTTTGTCG